AACCTAACTCTACCTTGGTAACACTGGCTCCTTGTTTACACATTCCACTCCCAATTGTTATTTTTTTACCCTGAACGTTTTTTTCACCAGTTTTTGCTGCCTACAGCTTTTAAAGTTCCTACTTTATCGATTGTCTCTTGGCCATTTAAAGTGGCCTTGCCGTTTTATATCGATTTTTTCTAAATGAATTCAATTGTGTATTTTCGCTGACGTTAATTCACGCTATGCAATGAGAAATAGCAACTTAAGAGCACTCTCGAAATTAATGGATCCATTAAATTTTACTGTTTATACAATCTTCGAATTTTTACCAGGGAAAAGAAGCTTTAAAAAAGATAAGAGCACAATGTATGTCATATATATTGTTAGGGGAATTAAAATAATGTCACACACACAATTATGTCCAGTCTGTAAACAGCAACAATGAATTCTCGCTTGCCAACCACTGTCGTGTTCTTTCTTACGTAATCTCATTTATATGAAAGACCAAGTCTATACTTGAAGCGAAGAAAATTGCGAAGAATAAAACCTAAAAAATGTAAGAAAACATTAATCGTTTCAATTAAATAAAAATATCAATCCTATTTATTAAGTATGCTATGATCAGAGGGTGTGACATGTTAGCGACCCTCATGGCAAATACAGAAAACCGAAACTTGCACTTCGATGAGATGGTTTTCAGTAATGTAGATTAATATGATATAGAAGCTTATAATATAGGTTACGTTATGCATACTATATATAATATGTGATGCCAACAACCCAATTTCTCACTCGAGGATTAGTGCCAAATTTCTGTTACATCGAGCAGACGACGACAATTACCGAGTCGAGCTAAATTACCTGCTGAACATATGTTTCCACAAAGTTTACCCTGAAAGAACTAATAAATTCCCATCCGGCGCCCAAAATGAATACATGCCGAAGCCTTCTGCATATTATGAATGTGCGCAAATTCTTTGAAAGACACTCGCGGAAACACTAAATGACAGTGTTTAATACAATGATGACTACTTTATGCATTAAGCATATATATATGTGCTTCGGAGAAGCTTGATTATATCGCTATGGAAGAGGTCATTAAAAAGCTGCTTGCAGTACCGTATATTGTGACCAAACTAGCCAAGCTGTTTCAGCACCCACCAGTAAAATCAACAGCCAGTGAAGGGCTGTGACCATCTGTTCTACGCGATCATGCACAATTTTGGTATACCTTGGCAGATGACAAAATTACCATTGCCCTAGTTTGCCCCCTCCTCCTTTAAAAAAAGGTTGAGTCATGCGTCTATCGGCACATTAAGTTAGATGCGTGTAGAAAGATCTCAGGGATACTGGAAGAAACCTCAAGCAAGAAATTCATAGGGTGCCACACACGGTGGCCAATTATGGGCGCAAATGTCAAACATCTTTCTAGGTACGGTTAAAATGTTCACTATTATGCCTATGTGCCCACGTCCGACTTCGACTTAAAAATCAGCGGCAAACAGGTAGCCAAATAAGTTATCTATTTTTAACCAAAGAACCTGTATTTTTTTCAAAATAAAATTTTAAAAGATAAATAACATATATTAAATGGTTTTTTCTTCCAATTGGCTTTGAAATTTAAAAAAAACAAAGCAAGCACAGGTAAGACATTATTGACCTTTTTAAAAATACACTCGATCGGTTTTTGGTTTTAAATGGCAGAATGATATCGATTTTCGGTTCTCACTTTATTCTCTACTCTGTAGGCTATGGAAGCATACTCTGTAATCTCTTACGTTGATGCATGTGTAACTTAGATGATATTGAAAATTTATAGATCAGTCAAAAGGCATATAGGCGGGACATACTGTCACGGCGATTGAAGCATCCATGTACTGCTTGTAGACTTGTTCAGCCTGTTTAGCCTGTTCAATCTCTTGTTGTGGTGGTTGAGGGTTTTGTTGTGGTACTTGTTGTAATTCTTGTAATTTTTGACCACACTTAGCAGCAATAATGGTGGCAATAATAAAAGCTATCAACGCCAACACCACCATTAGACCCAGAACAACTGCTTCCTGTGACAAGACGTTGAAGATATGAGAAAAGTAAGAAAATGTACCACCTGGAATGCAAAGTTTGCGTTTTTGATGTAGAAAAATACTAGCAAAATACATCTACTTTCTTATAAACCCCTCAATAAGTATATATAAAAAGCTGTTGCGTTTTCCTGCGGTATAACGAAATGTGCATTGATTTCGGGCACTATGACAAAAAAATAATGTTTAATATATAATTTCAACTTATAACTAAACTATTTAACTGCAGATTGCCCACTGTTTAAGTAGTCTAATTACAGCTCTCCGTCATAGCAGCCAAGATTTCCGTAATTTTTAATACGTCGTTTGGAAAAAAAATTTGTTTACTCTTCAATAAAATTTACAATTAAACTTATGAATGTGTACAGTGACAGCGTTAAACCTAGAAAGACAATGGGGACTACAATGGCCGTTTTTGGCTCCTACACTGTCATTAGCCAGTCATAACATATCTTAGGTTTATGTCATCCGGAATTTGCACACACGACCTTGTAAATTCTGTAACCCTACCATTGAACCACATATTCGTTCTGTTTGTTGGTTTCAATTGTGAATATGATTACGTTTTATCACACCCTAATCTGGTTTAATAATAATTCGTTAACCACTCTATCACATATGTATCCATTTTCCAGGTTTTAATCTGCTGGCAGTGGATTTTGACAATTTTGTTAAATGAAGACAAAAACGCAATTAAAGTCCAAAATGTAGAAAAAAGGTTTAACCACTGGAACCGTCTCAAACTACGTCCGAACATATCGGAGCAACCTTAAGTACCAGGTGCCATGCATTCTTTATTTTACAGACTTAAGGCTTATGTTTAATATCTTCAGTAAAAGGGTGATAATATATGTATTAAGCGAGATTTGTGCGGATGCACTCTTCAGACAAAGTTCTTGTTTGCTGTCAAATACCAAAAAATCCAAAAAAATAAAAGTCAACTTGATTGGGGCATCAAAAATGTAAAAGAGGGCCTTACAAATATGTCCATGACTATACTCTCGCCTATCTCGAGTATGCGAAGGATAAGCAGGAGTAGACACATTACCCAGACGTAAATCGACATGAAGAGTAGAAAACCGCATGCCTTCAATTCAGGCACCTCAGAATGTACGGTTCCACCAGGAGGGTAAGGCACAGAACTGTCCTGGACAGGGAGGACTACAGCAATGACAATCATTGTGGTTAGTCCAAGAATGAATCCAACTATTTTTAAAATGCCCCATGGGGTGGTAGCATATCCCCAGTAGGCCATTTTACAATCTGCTTTACAGACTGAACTCAGTTTTCCCATGCCACAGTTTCTTATTTATATGCTGCAACGATCCAGTGAACAGCTTGAGCAATCCTCCTAGCCAATCAAATATACCCGTCATCTGCAGAAATGAATAGGAGTGGAGCGAAAGGGAAAGAAGGTCAAATGTAGTACAGGACTCGTTTTCGTGCCTACTGGATGACAGTGATTAGCCTACTATGCAGATACTGCTCTTACAATGCGCTCTCATCAGAATCGCAGGTTGTATTGCTCAATATCGTCCATAATGAAGAGCTAAATATCTGAAAACGCAAACCAAAAACACCAATTTGGAGAGAGATCATAATTTGCTGCTTGTGATTTCTACGTAGAGCTGACTTAATTGCCTACCACCCGCGTGAAGCAAATACCAGGCAGCCTGCTATTCTGGTGGTATTTTTTCAGCTTGGATTGCGCTTCCTTAATATCGGGTGAACACGGTCTCAGTCCACTCAGCGGGGTAATTGGTAGACTAGTTATCTTTCTCTCCGTACCTTCTTTGAAGGCTATCTCTTCTATCTATTGCTAGAATTTGACACAATTCGCCCACTGCCACTCATTTTAAGGAAAATCCTTCACCTTCGTGGTAGAAAATAAGATATAATGGGTTTTGCAGAACTTTAACTGAACTCTATATATTTATGAACAAAGTCAAATTCGTGGATAACGGATAAAACGTGTCGAGCACCGGATCAATTGGTTTATTGTCCTGAGCTTTCGAACACTTACAGGAGTTCATCTTCAGAGATCTCTGAAGAGGGACGGGACCACCAGTGCCGTGAGTCCGGAGATACCTGCGCAGGGCAACATATGAGTGCGCCAGCTCGATTAATCGATTAATTGAGTTGTCATCCGACACCCAGGCTTCAACAAGTTCTCGGCCCGTCTTGCTGCTTGCGTGGGCAATTATCCTTGCAGCTGCGAAGTTGAACTCGTGACCCGTCTCGTAGGTGTGGGCGACCACTTGCAAAGATTCATCACCCCATCGAACAGCCGACTTGTGTTCCTGCATGCGCGAACTCAGTATGCGTCCAGTCTGTCCCAAGTACCTTACAGAACAGTTTAGACATAGTATTCCATTAACTACACCCGACTACTCCCTGGGATTTAGTCGATCCTTGATCCTCATGGCTCGGCTGCGCATTGTAGACTTGGGACGATGTGCGATTTCAACGCCTATTCCCGCGGCAATACGCTCGGCCGCTTCCGACATGTCTTTGATATATGTCAGCGTGTGCCAAATCGTGGGGGGCGTTTCTGTTTGGGTCCTCGGAGAACGGGCACGTAGGCATCGGTTTATGCAGTCAAAATATGTACGGTACCACCTATATATTTTGATTAACTACCCGGGTATGGTGTAATGAACCGCCCGACCCACTTTTTTTTCAATGGTTTCCTAGGTTGTCACGTTCAGTTTTCGATTTCAGGTTGAGCGATCGCTGGTTGCCTTGGACAATCTTCCCTTCGATCTTGCGTTTGATAAGTCCCATCGTTTTCTACACCGCTCTCATCCTACAATGTATTATTCATTCGATATTACTCCATAAACTTTATCTATTCCATTACCTCTTCATTTATCGTCATGAATCCGTTCAACGGCAAACATGCTTCTCCATTTGATGAAATGGATCCACTTTTAGTGAGGATCCTTCGCGCAGCTCATAAATCTGGTCGTGAACCTTTGACCTCTATTCCGGTCTGTCGCAACCTACCCAGCTTTCCCAACTCGGACGCTACGATGGTTGGATGAATATACATACACTTATGATCAACCATAGGAAACATCTGTTGGTCAAATACTGTTTTTTCCCTTACTAGCCTCAAGCTCACAATACAATTTTGTATTCCTTTGAATGAGAGTACTGTATTTTCACGAACAATCAACTGTAACGCTTTAATTCAAAATTTAATTGGTTTATCTGTTTAAATTACTCATCAAACCTGATGCGTGCCATCCTGCTAAATAAGGGCAACGTCTCCCTCATTTCTCTTGGCAACATTTATACGTGACATTTAATGCAGTATCCCTGTCAATGCCTCATTTGCATGCGGCATTACTTTCGATATAAATCCAATGCTCAAACACAGTTAGAGTCTGTGATTTAAGAAGTTAAATATTGTTACATTTGTAGGTCGTCCTTTAACGATCGAAGCCCTGCCCAGATGCATTGTTCGTAAAAAACGAAAAAATGCTGTTGGTTCCGAAGTTAAACAAAATACCGAATCACTACCCATATAAAAATACGGAGCGTGAAATGCGTGTAAAATGCTTAAACTAAACGTTT